CCCCCAGCACATTTACAACTTAAAATTAGTAAATTCAGCCCTCTCTGTGCGTGGTTCTCATGTACGGCCCCGTGAAAATTTTTGGTTGGAAAATGGCTAATTCAGAAATCAGGAAAGCTAGGAGGCTGAAATTTTCAGGGAATGTTCCCAGCTCATGTATAACTTAAAGTTATCAAATTCAGCTCCCGGGCACCCGTGGATCTCACGTACGGCCCCGTGAAAGTTTTTGGTGAGAATAGGTAACTCCGGAATTGGGAAAGCTAGGACCTGAGATTTTAAGGGAATGTTTCCTGTCCAAGTACAGCGCATACAACTAACTTTCGGAAATTCGAGAATCAGTATGCCACACATTTTTAGCTGGTGGGTTTCGGAGCGATCTCATTAGAGCATGAAACACTGCAAAAACGCATGATCGCACAGACTCGCACGGTGCGCATCGCCAATTTTTCATCCTCTTTCTCATATATTTTCATTTTTATGGGTTTTACAGCAGCATAAAACGCATATTGTCATGGGGTTGTCTGTAAGTGTGTGTCCCTGATTTTATCCCGCATTTTCAACTCGGGGACCACTAAAGCTAGGAAGCTGATCCCGCAAATACGGTCACGTCGAAGTTTTGGCGGGTAAAATCATTACCTCGGGAACTACGAAACTAGTGAGATGAAATTTTGTGGGTATTTTCCTTGCCTACGTGCGACCCAGAAAACTTAAGTTCAGCTTTCTTGTGCGCTTGAATATCACGTATGGCCCCGTGGAGATTTTGGCGGGAAAACTGCCCTGAGAACCATGAAAACAAGGGAGATGAAATTTAATAGGGATGTTCCCTGGCCTTACTTACGTCCCCTTGGAAGTTTTGGCGGGAAAAACTACTACTATGGAAGTCATAAAAGATAGAAAGCTGAAATTTTGAGGGGATGCGACCTCGCAGAATTAAATTCAGTTTTAATGTACGCTTGGGTGTCTTGTGCGGCCTCGCAAAAATTTTGGTGGAGAAAATTATTTCGGGAGCCAGAAGAGCTACGTGGCTAAAATTTCAGGAGGATATTTTCTGGCCGTGCAGGTATCTCACAAACTCAAATTTAGCTCCCAAGTATGCAGAGGCCTTACGTACAACCACGTGAGAGTTTTAAAGCGAAAGTCACTAGTTCGGAAGACGGAAAACTAGGAGGTTGAAATTTGGAGAGATGTTCCCCATCCACTTTCTCAAATTCAGCTTTCATGTACCGGCACACGAAATTTTCAGTGGGAAATTTCTCAGCTCAGGAGCCAGACAGCATATCTGCTATTTCCCACATACGAAAGTGTAAAACAGTTATATTTTCAGTAGGCAAACGTCCGTTGAACGGAACTACGCAAAACGTATGATCGCACCGGCTACCCTGGTGCGCGCCGCCATTTGTTACATTCGGCTCCCCCCATCTTTCATTTCATCCAATTTCATTTCGTCAAATATATTATTACCAGAATTGTTGTAACGAAAAAGCCCAGTTGTGGCATTAAATAGGAATGTATACGACTTAATGGACTAAAATATTCCTTTTTGAAATTACCATTCTTCTTTCAGTCTTTTCCTATACTGTTTTGCTTTAAATTCATCATATCCTCCTGTATCATAACCAATTTACTGTTTTGTCATTCGTGTAGGAACCCCCTCCCTCTCCTTTGCCCCCTCCTCCCCGCCTATTCCGACCAATTGCTATTTTTTGAAACTACTCAGTTCAAAAGCTGCTCTTTCTTTAAAAATTCAAAAATCCATGAAGCGTTATTGATTTCAAAGCCTATGCAATGACCATCACACCTTAATTTTTAATAAATTTTTACCTCCATATTCTTTTCTTGAGCTAATTTGGCAAGCACTTTATCCAATTCAATGCTTCCTTTGACCTCGTCCAGAAAATTATCCCTTTGGAAACCACAGTAACTTATATCATCTCCGAACATCTGTAATTACAAGCGGGCATCAGCGGCTGCAACAAAATCATTACCGTATGCCATCCGTTTTCATTCCTGCATCTTCAAAATGGTTGAAGCATTTTTTTTTTGTGCGTTTTTTCACATGTGCAAATGCAAAAACGCATATTGACAAGAGACTGTGTGTGTGTGTTCGCACTTTTTATCATCCACTTTCAGCTTGAGAATCAGAAAAGCTAGAAGACTGAAACTTCGGGAGTATGTGTCCACACCGTATGCGTCTCTCCCGTTTTATTACCATCACCAGTATACGCCTGGGTCCCAAGTACGAACGCCTCAAAGAAATGTGCAAATTTTTTGACGGGAAGCAATCTTGGGAACTAGAGAAGATAGAGAGCTGAGAATTTACAGGGATATTCTTTGTGCACACATGGGCCAAAGATTTCGAACTCAACCCTTATGTGTTCTCGCTTCTCACGAATAGATATGTGAAGAATTTTGGCGTGAAAACTGCTAACTCGGTAACCAGAAGAGCTGGAAGGCTGAAATTTTAAGATGTTCCCTGTCTACGCAGAACTTAAAGACTTCAAATTCAGCTCTCAGGTATGCGTGATACTAACGTATGAACACATAAAGTTTTGGCGGAATAACTCCTAACTCGGGAAGAGAAAAGCTGGAAAGCTGAAATTTTTGGAGAATATTTCCTGTCCAAATACAACTTAAAGGTTTCAGATTCAGCCACCAGGTATGTGTGATTCTTATACACGGGCACTTAAATTTTTTGGCGAAAAAATAGCCAAGTCATTTTTAAACAGCCAAGTCATTTTTAAAGAAAGACCGCTAATAGGAAACTGTTTATTTTCGTTTACCCAAAATTTGCGATGATTTACAGTAGTGAGGGCACAAGACAGGTGCAAAGCAATAACCATCCATGCAGCTAATCTAATTATACTTCAAGATGAGTGCAAAAACGCATGATCGGACCTGCAAACTTAGTGCGTTTCAGCTGGACTGAATATACGTTTTTACAAATGAGTGCTCAGACGCTTATAACGAGACAATATTTCTGTGGCTAAAAGTGTTGCAGAGTGTTAGAAAATATAGATATAATAAAATGAGTAGATCGTGTTACTTTAACAGTTAACTGTTTTCTTCGCTATAGTATGAGAATATCAGTTTTAGACTGTGATTACCAGCATAATTACCTTATCTTCTCAGGCGAATGAAGTTAACTCTAGATACTCAAACAGATCTTTGCGTAAGTTACGTCCTTCAATATAGCATTGGTCAAATCCTCCCCTTACATCTTATATGCCAGCCTTTCCTACGGTCCAACACTTTTCTTTCGTCTTTCTTTCTCTTTCGTTCGTTATTTATTATTGGTTTCCTCAAAAATTTTTTACAACAACCTTGTATTGCTATAAATGGAAATAGTTGAGTAGGCAATTTTCTCACAGGAGGAAACGAACGTCGTGATCACCAGAAGGCTAACCATCAGACCAAGCAGCACTGGTCAAAACATTTAGAAAAACCTTTAGCACCTTTGAACCTTTAGCAAGAACCTTTAGCAAGCGTATTTGTTCCTGCGAATTTTAGCCGATCC